CCTAATTTCCATTCAGCTTTTGCAAAGAAAAGCCAGCAGACAGCCAATATCAACAGAATAAAATGAATAAAACCAATAAAACCAAACAAGGATAGTTATTCTCCCTCTGCTCCAGCATACAGATCATCTCTCATGTTCACAGAGATTTTATCTCTCCACAATACAAGCAACCAACTCACCAAAAATTTTCCCTTACATATTAATATACATTTCTAAAATATCATTTATGAGTGTTAGGAGAAAACCAAACAAGAAAGGCAACGTTAATACCTCTGCTAAGAATCAAGTACCATGGTAGCGTTCTTGTTTGACGAATTTTTCTTCTGTCTTCAATGTCTGGGAGATGGTTCTCAGGGGCTTTGTCCATTTCTGCTCTAGATTTCCATGCATCCAACGCAGACACCTCACAATACACCTTGTAGGGAGGAGCCAGCTACAGTTGCAACTAATTTATATTTTCATCATAACTTCAGAAAGATATGGAAGCCCTGGAGAACAATCAGTGTTACAGCCCAGCTGGACAGCTAGGCCTTGTAGTCTGAAGTGAAAAAGCAAGAAGCCCACCAGCACAAATTGCCACATGATCAAGTTATGTACAGCTTGTTTTCTCAAGAGCTATCTCCAGAAAGTCTTATAATGTTAACTGATGGGCCAGGCTGGCAGCAGCCTGCTGCAATGCTGAGGCAAGTTGTGGAGATGTGCATGTGGCAGCACCCAGCCCACCATCATCAGGCCTGCAGATACCATCTTGCCTTCAACACTCCATGTGATATAGGCACAGAACTGATCTTCATGTGGCTGGGGCTGCCAATGCTTTTTTTCAACCTTGTGTTGGTATTTTGCTCCAAGACTCAAATGCTGAGGTGGAAAAGTTCTCTTCATGTCACATGTGGGCAGAAAGAACAGTAGAAGCACAAGGAAAGCATACAAATTAAAATGGGAGGGCTGGGGTATCTTTTTAATAGACATTACCCCCCTCCCCCCCCCCAATATTTTACAATGAGTATTCATAGTAAAATCTACCTATATTCCCCTGTCATAATAAAATACCTGTGCTGTAGCTGGCAGAGATATTTTTCTTTCCACGATAGTGATAGAAGCCATTGCTAGTGCAGCTGCTGCAATTACTTTCCTTAGCTCAGCAGTTTACAACAGTAATTCTCATTAAAGTAAGCCTGTGGAATGTGCCAGACTGCTGGCTCTGCAGAGCACAGCCCTACAAGTATCCACAAAATTTAAAGTTGTATCAGCACAAGAAATCTTGGACACACATTCCTCCCCACCAGTACCTAGGAAATAACGTGTGCTGAGTTTACATGATGAATGTGATCACGTAAATGAAGAAAATAAGAGAAAAATCTCACCTGGGTCAGTATATCTACTCTCTCTCATGGAGTGAGGTCTGCAGGATAAGTGAAATTTTAGATTTGGGGGATAAGCATTCAGAACCCTCTTCACAGCCTGTGATGTCAAATGCCAACCAGTTCAGCCTCATCTCATATTTGCACCAAACACAGCTCAAACTACACATTCATTCAAGGAGAAGGAGAAACTGCAAGTTATCATGGCTTTACCTTGGGTAAACTTTTTTTCTTTTTTCTTAAAAATAAACTAACAAAACAAACAAACATACAAAAAAGAACCTGTAAGTCTTTCCTTGGTGCATTCACCTGCAGAGAGGAAACATGGTTGACAGGAGAGAAGAGCTGGGAAGAGGAAGCTGGTCTCTATTTATGTGAATGGATTGCCAGTGCTAACCCTGTAATTAATTTAAGTCATTACAAATAGGAAAGACATTTTTGCTTTATATGCTTGTTTCTTTTTTTCTGCTGATGTAGGTTACTCATTCAGTCTAAATGTCACTTTCATGACCTGAAATAATATAGCTTTTTTATTAGTGACTGGCTATATTCAATGACTTCTGGGCTACCTGTGGCTCATCCTCCACCATCCACCCCTCTTAATTTCAACACCAGAGACGGTGTCAGCAAGTAAGAGTTTTCACCTTCTCTGTTAGTCAAATGACAGGCAAAAGCATATTTTCTCAGACCTGTTTTTTCAAATCACGAATGACATGCATATAATTGCTATACCACTGGCTGAACAGGAATAGCATAGAGCAGGATTGTATTCAAGGGGTATTTTGATTTAGGGAAATATCTTCTCCTTTCAGCCTACACCTGTTCACTTAAAAACTCTGTTTCATTCTGTAATATGTTGTATTGAGACTCAAGGCTGAAATAAAGGTTATTATTCTGTGCTTTTCCCACCTGCCTGCTGGCCATGTGCCTCTTGCACTGCAGGAAGCAGTGTGCTTCAAGGCTGCACCACAGAGTACATCCTGCAACTCCAACACTCCTTGTCAACATGGTTGTTAACTGCATCCTGCTGAAGGAAGGCTGAGTGTGGCAAATCTGAACTGCAGCATTTTAACATGAACAAAGTTGTTATCCTGCTTTGCGGGCTTGCTTTTCTTAATTAGAGTGTAGACTCACAGAAGAAGACTGGGGACATAAAGTCTTACAAAATCCAGACTGATGGTTGCATACCTGTGTGACCTATTTAGCATCTGCAAATCTGTTTAATGCCAAGAACTACATTAGATAATTCACGCAAAAGCTCAAAGGGAGTCACATAATGAGAGCGTTCAGATTACTGTTGTGATTACTCCAGTCCCTTTCCCCTTCTCACTCAGGAATTTCATTTAGGCAAGCAGTCATTTTAAGAATATGCAAATTGTGATTGCCAGTTTAGCTATGAACCTGGCAGAAAGCCAGGCTTCTATGAAACTGGCTACTGCAGGCAGCATGAAGTTAAATATGCATGACCTTGCCTGATGTCAGTCCATAGGATTGCAGGCACCCTGCACCTGTAAAGATTCAAGCCTATCGACTATCAGTTACTAGTCTGTATGCAAAGTGTCTCAAAATCCAACATAATGGAGTTTCTTAGCATTTCAGTGCTCAATGATCATGTAAACTCAGCACATATTCATTACCTCTCTCTTCTTTAGTAAGGTCTTGAATTAAAAAGCCACGCGTTTATCCATGGCAAATCCAATAGTTAGCTCTTGACAAGAATGTATACTGATTTCACATAATGAGGGTGGGAAGATTTCATGCTGATGATTTTATTATATGAAAATTGGATAAGTCCATTGTTATCAACAAATGGTGATTAAAATGCAATAGTTAGTATAAATAATGCATTTGACAGTAAGAAATTAATGATGCATTAAGATAAGGCTAGCACTACGAAATTGCCTGAGAGCATTGTACATAATCAAGAGTCATAGAAAAGTCTACTATCATTCAGGGTTATAAATGACAATTTAAAGTAGAATAAAATCTTTCAATCCAATAAAATCAGCTTTACCTCATTTCAATTCACAAATATATGTCAAGTATACTGGCATTGGCAATACCTGTAATCTTTAAAAAGATTCTACAACTATTGAATATATACAGAAGGGCAGATTCTGATCTTGTAAATACCAGGGGACCTCAGTGCATAGTTTTGAATTAAAAAAGAAAAATGCTGCCAAACAATGTCAAGTTTATTCTTTCACAAGAGAAATGGCTGCAGAGTGTGCTGACTTTCCACATGGAGCCTTATCATTTGCTTTGAGCCAAACTTTGATTCTTCCTCATGGCTGCTTTAGAGCAGGGAAGAATCTTCCTTATCCAAGGGAAACTGGTGAAGAGCAGATAGCAACAGCCTTCCTGCACTCCAGGGAGAGTTCTCAGGGGGCCATGGATGTAGATGCTGCTCCATGCCATCCAGCCACAAAGTGGTCTGAAGAAACACTGTGAGCCATGCACTGAAACTGAAACCCCAGCTACAACGCAGTTGCAAAATCTGAGGGATACAATTAGACTTTTGTAATCAATTTGGCTGATGGTTTTCTTGTTTCTTGTCTCACACTGATGGCTCACAGCCAGTCTGTGTCTAATTAGTGACCCCAGCCCTATGGAATGAGCTTTCTCAATACAGCAGAATACAGTACAGCAGTGCATGACCCCCCAGTTCAAAATGGAGAGGGAGGATGATGTCTCCAACGCTCTCACACTGATGTCACCACCATTGCTGTGCTGTTCACATTTGGTGACCATCTGGCAGTTACTATGGCAAGAAGTCTGTGGGTGTGCAAACAATTTCCAAAACTTTTGCAAATCTTTTATCTTGATTTGTGGAGCAGATTTAATACAATAACATTTATACATGTAAAAAATAATGCTTCCTGAATCATATGCTATGGCATATTGCTGTTAAGCAGGCAGCTTCTGGATTTCTAGTATTTTGGAGAGCTAACGCTAAACAAAGAAAAACCAAAGGGGGACTGGTAGCTTGAATGTGCTTGCAGGGTGGAAACATGTTTGCTGTTAAACAAAGAAACATCTGTTTATAGGTATTTATAATCAATTTATAGAGTAATTCCAAGCAATTACTCTTGGTATGACTCAAAAACTCAGGCTGAATTCTAGCTGGGCAACAAAAAGAGATTTCTGTAATGCTGGAGAGACACTTGAGCACAGTTGGAGGAAAGTACAAATCAACTGTTAGCATGATAAAACTGTGCTCAGTAACTAAACTTCTGGAGCTCTTCATAACTCAGCAAACATTCACACTGGAAAATCAGACATAAAGCAGCAAATTGCTGCAGCAACACTGGATTTTCAATGCAGCAGGTGAGACAGAGGGTGTACAGGAGACCCTGTAACATCCTGGAGCAGCAAATGGGGGCCAGCCAGGTAGGATAGTGACCCTGATGGTATTTGTTTGTAGGCACGTCAATTGCTGCCTCAGAGGAGCTGTAGCTTAACCATTTCTCAGGGGGAAGAAGTCTGCAGCAGACACACACAAAAAATATGTCCTTGGTCAAGATTTACACTTTAGAAAAAGGATTTGATTCTAAGAAACTAGTAAGGAAGAAGACAAGGAAACTAATAACCATAATTTCATAAAGCATTATTTTTATTTGAAAACATTATACAGGCATTACATTGCCACAGCCAGTCCATATAGGAGCATGCAAATATCAAAATGAAGAAAGGTTTGTTCAGCTTTTTTTATGCAGGATTTGGGGTTGGGATTCTGTTTGCTTGGTTTTGGTTTTGGTTCACATTTCCATCTGCAGTGTCAAGATTAGTGTGCTTTATTACGGCGTTCAACAGTAAAATCCTACCCATGGGGTAAAATTTATATTCATAGCTAGCTCAGGAATACTAAATGGTTTTTTAAAAAAGAAAACAATACTACACGCTTGTCAAAATGTTAATAGCACAAGTTAGCAATCTCTACACTATACATTGAAACTTTTTCATATGACACAATGGTGCAAAATTTTCAATTGCTTGGTCTTTCATTGTGTTGTTTTGAAAGTTTATAGCTGGAACAAGGACAAGGTTTGTCTCCCAGTAAAGGTTTTCATCCAGTAGCAGAAAATTACATCAGTCTTGCTAAGGGCTGCTCAGCGCCAACAGTGTAACAGGGCTTCAGTTTGTTCAGGCAAGGATCTACGAAGAGTAGCTGCCAGCTAGATAGCTGAACCTCTGCTGGTGTGTTCTGAGGTCTTGAACTGCAGGAAACAAGCAGGCAGAAGTAATGTTTTCCTTTACTAGACCCCAGCTTCACAGTCAATACTTGTAAAGCTATACTACTGTCTTCCTTAGAGGTCCATCCAGCACTAGCACACTGGTGCTAATTGAAGTTCCCACCTTTTTTAATGGGAGATGCAGAATGTGAAGCAGACCCACTTTGCACATGGGACTCCTCCTGTGCAAACAACACAGAGGATGGTGGCTGGGCATCGAGTGTATACCCAGACATTCACACTTTATTTCCAGAGGACAGAGCTTTTAAAAATAGCCTCTAAAAATCACTATAGATGGCATATCGTAGACATCCATGGTTTGTAAACTCTTGTGTGTAAATCTCCCAATCCAGCAAAGTGCCCAGGACATGCCTTCTGCCCAGCTCTTTCTGAGAAGACTCCAACAAACATCTACAAGTTAGTGTCAGAAAAATTGAAGAGAAACAGGTGGAAGGACTACAAACATTTGGCTTGAAAATAAATACTAATAATGAAATAAACCAAAACAGTTATGCAAAACAAAGGAATTGTAAACATAGAACAAACACACACACCATCCTCAAAGATCTCAAGATCAACATGGGGACTAACATTCAGAGAAAGGTATTTAATTGGTATAAAAGGTAGCAAAAAGACTGAGATGACAGGTGCCTGTCAGTTGCCTCTGAGCATTTGACAGTGTTGTGGTGTTTGTGGCCAAAGCCACTGCTCCTGTGAAGGTATGAAACCTGACAGGGTTGGACCCAGGATGCTCACTGGCCCACTCTAAACAAGGGCTCCAGCCAAGTGAACCACGTGCTTTCCACCTGGACTTCCACCCTGCTAACCTGAAGCACCAGGCGATCATTCTTGAGTGTGGGAGGTCGATTTTTTTGTTCATTTTAACCTCGAATCCTGTAGCATTTGAGCTTTCCTCCACATTCCCAGAAAAAGGACTCTATTTCTCTGTGGAATCTTCTTTTCTTTTTTTTTTCTTCAAAGGCTTAGGAGAAAAAGCTTGGAAAGATGAATGCTAAAGATGATTTAAAAACAGAAGGCAGGAAAAAAAAATCTCATTCTTTTTGATTTAAAAAAATCAGAGAATCTTAACTGAAGGTTTTAGAATGGCTTTGAGTACGGTTTGACAATACTGCAGACCCTTCCCTCAGCTGCAGCGGGAGACTGGCAGACAGCCTAAACACGATGGGACAGAAATCGCCTCTTCTCCTCAGCCACAACACAAGTAAGAGAAAACATATGTCTGCTGTTCAGCAGCATTTTGGCATTTGTCACTTCACGTATATTTGGATAGATATTTCTCCCAGTCTGCTTCAGGGAAGTCTTTTCAATCCTAAAGCAGAACGGGACTATAAAAGATGGAAGTTACCTCAGCAGAAATTCATCCTCTTTGGTTGACCTGTGGCCTTTCTAATCTCCAGAGTACAGGCTTTCTGTTCTCTTTTATTCTTTTTTAGAATAGAAATAGGAAAGCTGTATTTTTCAAGTATGAAGACCTACATTTGCACTTTAGATAGACTTCCTCAGCAGAATGCCATTCAAATCAAATTCACCTTTTATGCCCACAAGCAAAATATTCATCAGCCCAGCTGTAAACCCCATGTTCAAATACGATGAATAAATACACTTTTACTTGGTCCCATAGCACCCCTGTGAGGTAGGTAAAATATAACTATTCCCTTACATAGAGATTGGGAAATGCAGCCACACAGAAGGTAAGTCATGCCCAAGATGATGCAGAGATGTGGCAAATCTGCGAATAAAACCAAGCTCTCCTGGATTTCTTTCCTATCTGTTTGGCATTATACCATTTCCTTTTCCTTATTTTTAAATTAAAAATAGATGATGGATATTGAAATTGTGATTACTTCTCATTGTGCTCTCAAAAGAGCACACACAGTGGATTCTCATGACTGCAGCTAAGATTTTCCCCCTTCTGATAAGGCTCATGGAGCAGAATTGCAGTTGCAGAGCACACCCTTAACTGCTTTCATATATTCCCAGGAATGTAAGAAAACTGCTGAATTCTTCTGCTAGTTTTGTAGTTAACGAAAGATAATTGGCTTCACCCTGCTGGTATGGATGCTTTTGTGCTACACCAGCAGATGGTCCAGTGTTCCTATTCATGAATTCCTCGCATAATCTTCCCAATTTTTACAATTTGTGGGTTTTGGTGAAAAACTGACGAATTTCTACACAGCTATTGTTAGAACAATGAACCACAGGAGACTAAGCACACTGGAACAAGAGAAGGCGCCCTCGATGCACCGAGTATCTAAAATAAGTGCCCTGATCCACATGATATGTCATCTTACCATAGAGAGGTACAATACATAGGAAACTAGAAAATGCATTTTTCTTTAACAGATTAAAATTTTAAAAGTAAGAAATCTGTGTTAGTCACAACTACAGAGAAATTAACTCCCTATCACCTGATGCAGAACCTCAGCTGCTAGGAAATCTGCCATGGATCATAGAGAGGTCAATGCTAGAGTACTTCACTTCTTGCAAATATAGAAAGGCTAAAATGCTCACTTTATACCTATTCCTAGAATAGAGACGGATATTGTAAGTTGTCCCTCCTCTGGATTCATGGAATAGATTACCTAGAAAGGGCAACTAGATAGCACAGATGAATTTATTGTATTTCCCTCACCAAATTCAAGGTGCTAGTAAAAATGTGTCAGGGTGTTGTTACCACGAGTAACCCATCTATTTTGTGCAAACAAACAAATCTTAGAGAGAAATCAACAGTGACTACACAAGTGTATTTGCTGTAAAAAGATATCTTTTCCACAACTGGTGTGGCTTAGGCATAATATCTCTCAGTGGATGCAAATACCCGCTTCCATGAATTTCTTCTTGTAATTTCAGCTTCTATATTGAATATCTTTCATAGGTAGTTTGAAAGACTGATTCAGATACAGCAGTTTGTATGGCAAACATGCTGTTCACATCATAAACAAGGGACATGGAATCTCCTTGCAATGAACACCCTGGAACAACTAATTTGCACTTTTATGAGCTTTCCTTATTTGCTACCTTGCAGCTCACCAGTGTAACTGCACCTGGTAAATACCTTTCTCTATGTACAATACAGAGATAATGAATATACGAGCTCCACTGAATCATCAGCAGGTGACCAATGACCCTGGGCTTAAGCAACTCTGACGTGAGGCTCCTCTTCTGTCTCCTGCCCCAGGCTGGTGTATGTTACCGACGGCTCCAGCTGGCCAGTGGTTGGCAGGTCTACAACAGGTCCCGAAGGGTTTCGAAACTGCTTGTACACCCGAGGATCTTGGGCTACGTAAGTGGATGTGGAGGAGTAAAGCACTAGCCCAACGAGGATGGTGAAGAACGATAGCAAGTAAAGTCCTGAAAACTGAGCAAAAAGAAGAGTACAGACATTAGACACAGCACTGCTTATCCCAAGATCATGAAGACACGTGGACAGAGGTAGGCACAGGCACATGTTGTGGCATGCACATCACAATACAAACCTGTCAACAGGATGGCAAACTTTTGGGGGAATATCTATTTGAAAGTTGCTTTGTTCCCATTTATTCCCCTATCTTTCACAACCAACTGCTATCTGGTGCTTTTCCAAGGCTCATATGTATAAAGTATTAGTCAGATGGGGCTTCGGAAAGCTGAGCTGTGGTCAATGATCAGCAACTGATTTTGTTGTGCTTTTAACCAAGTGAACTACCTCTCTGAGTGCAAGTGTTTCTAGCTCCAATGTGGGGCTCCACCGTCTTCACATGTTTCTGGTAGAGGACAAATACGAAGCTAATTACAGCCAAACCCTCTAGTGAAGTATAACATTCTGTGGGTAATATAAAATTATAAAAATATAATTAAATAAGCAAATAAATAATTTAAATAACATTCAAAATACCATTAACATTTTACTTCAATAAAGGTGCTTAAGCAGCCCACCAGCAGCTTCTTTTGCTTTTAAAAGAAAGAAGGCAGATGATAGAAGTGTGAGTAAGAACAGGACAAGCGTCTGCTGTGAAACATGCCCTGGTTTGACCTCAAGGGATTTGACACTGCTTGTGGAAGGCAGTTAGGTGAAAAATTAAGCATATGCATATTTTGGCATGGGAGTCCACTAGATCAGAGCTTGAATTTCTTGACATGTGTGATGGACTAAGAATAAATGGAAATAACTTGACAATATAATTCTTCATGTAGGTAGAGGTAAAACCAGGGATCTAAAAGCATAACTGAATATTAGCCTTAGATGTTGTGTTTCCTGCTATGAGGGATGCAAAAATGGCTTTAAGCCCATATAACTTGTCTCTTGATCCTAGACAACAAGTTACTGTTTTTGCACACTTTGTGTGAGAATACATGATGAGTATACTGTCCAACAAACCTGTTTGTGGACTCGCAACAGATTCTTATTAAGTGGGACTTTTGAAAGTGCTTGTACCTGCAGCTATTGGGGGTTCATACTTCAACACCAACGAGTAACTAGCCTGTAACTGACTGCTTCATGAGGTACTTTATTATTTTACATGGAAGTGTCTGAAAATCTGTTATTCAATCCTAACTTCTATGGTACATCAGATCATTTCAGCATGAACAAAATAGGTAGATCAGACTGTATTACCTTGGCAGAAGCTTTCTATTTTAATATTCAAAGAAATAATCACAGTAGCAAAAGCAAATTTTATTTAAGATAACTTTGTAGAAATGCTAATTTTGTCTCATGTAATAGATTAAAGAACCTGTGTACAGCTTCCCACCCGAGGAAGCATTTGACTTCATTTATTCTTTGTACAGAATCTGAATTACCTTCAAAAGCTTTGGGCATATATCATGAAGTGACATATCTGCACCTGTTTTTGTTTCCTACAGCTGGTGTATATGTTTTAGAGGAGGAACATCCCAACAGGGAAAGTCTAGAAGAAGTTAGAAGGACTGCTATGTAGAAAGAAGGCTGCTTTCATCACTTGTTAATTGCACTTTTCCAGGGAAGCCATCTTCACCTGTCACCTGGTAGCATGATTTGATGGGAGCCATCCTCCAGAACATCAAGAATGAACTCAGTTATGAGCATCACATTAAGTCTGCTGATGGATTCCTCCTGCATGACACAGCTCTAAAAGGCTGGCTTAGGCTTAGATCTCCCTCATGTGGCAATGAAATCCAAGTCTATCATTTCTGGTGGCCTTTTTTTTTTTTTTCTTTTCAGTTTACTTTGTTCCTACACTTTCTCCTCATTTCATGAACTTGTGTAGCATTTGGCAGCAGTGGCTTAAATTAAGCAGAAGAAAAACTGAAGAGTAGAACGTGTCCCAGTTTCCCAAATAGGGATCTAGTTCCCTAGTTTCCTACTGTCCCTCCTTTCTATCTTATGACTGAATTTCTCACCCAGGGCAGCCAGCTGGCTTGCTTTGCTGTATAACAGTGCCAGGCAGACCTGTGATTGCCTTGTGTCCTGCTGTGAGGACTCCATGAGGCTTCCAGCAGCTAAATATGCCCTTATTCTTGCTCTGGGAGCTGTCCAGACAGAACCATTTCACTTTCTCTTTATTCTGTGGCTTCAACTCTACCATTTCCACTCCTCTTGGCCATACCTCTCATTCCTCTCTCTGCCAGTGGGTTCTTTTGCCCAATAATATTCTCACTGTGGCAGTTCTCCAGCCTGGGAGAAAGGCTTTGAAAATTACAGAGGAAGTCTAAACAAAGGCCTGTAAATCATTTGTCTTTTTGCATCTATTCACAGCTCTTCCAAAGAGACTAGGATCCTGACAACCTTACAGCAATAACAGTCTTTACCTTTCTCTCTTGATTAGAAACAAACTCAGCCTGAACTGTTTTCTGCAGTAGCTCCTTACCACCCCAGAAGGTTTATTAATAAGGTTAATATAGGAATATATACTGTAAGGACCTGATAAATCTGTGTTTATTCACTGTTCTGCTAGACTGACCCAAAGTCCTCTGAAATCAATAGATATTTTCCCTCTTTAAGTGACTGTGAATCCAGCAGTGTGATGGAAACAGTTCACCAAATGTGTAATGTTATTCACTGTACTGTGTTGCTAAGACTCTCCATCTGAAATCTCTGTGTTTTATTGAAGATGATACATCCAAGCATACTCAACTGCTCTGTCTACGCGTAGATTTTTTTTCTTTCTTTCTTTCTATCTTGACCTGCAAACTTCATCTGTTGAGACTCACCACTATTAGACAGCAAAAGAGATGGCTTCAAAAACAGCAGAGGAAGCTGTTCCAAAGAAATGTAGTGAGAGAAAATCATTTCACACTTCCATCCTATGCACAACTGCACTACCAAGGCACAAGCTCTCAAGTAGTGTGCAATTCCTCTTTTTTGCTGAAATACCAATTGACAATGACATTATGCTTCAATTTTCTAATTTATTTCCCACTTTGTATAGGCAGATACTTACTCGAAGAAAAGATATTTTAAAAATATCCATGTTTGCATGCCTCTCCAGATCCCATATCCTTCCTTGCTATATGGGACAATAGCAAGTTGTTCAACCTCTTGAGTCCTGCATTGATTTTTCAGCCTAATATGAATTTATTTTGTGAATGAAAATGATTTTAGATGGCCCTCAGTTTCTTATCATTTAAAAGAGAAAGTAGCACTTGATTTCTTTCTTTACCTGTTTACAAAGTAGAGAAGCAAACTAATCTACATAATGTGTCCAGCCAATAATTCCTAATAGAGTAGGATTCTGATCTCAGCTACTGCCTAACCAGGCAGAAATAATGATGAGTGCTTTGCCTTCCCTCTACAGCCAGAGAAGTCCATGCACTTTTGTGGATTCCCGTGTTGATGTTGCATCTAAATTTGTGGTTGGGTGGACCTCAGTGAGACAGATAAAAATCTCATTGCAGTAAAAGAAAGAGAACAACAACAGTCAAAACAAACTGAAGCAACAACGTACCAAAACTAAGTCAAGCTGGAAGAGTCGAGCTGTTTATGTTTGCTAGAAACACTATACAGATATAATTTGGAAATAGAGTAGAGGATCCTCTCTCTTTCTTAGTGATAAAATAGATGGAGCACGTCATTGATGATATCATGGATGGAAGTAAAAACATAGAGGCAACATTAATGATTGCATTCCCACCTATTGTGCTGTTTGCTGTATACAGGTACACAGCAACAACAAAAAAAAAAACAATCAGAACAATTCCTGTTCTGAGTCAGTTAGGATCTTAATAAACATAGTAGACAAAAGAAGACATCCTTATTTTCCAGCTGAGTAACTGAGACACAAAGAGACAATTATTCACCCCAGATCATACAGGGGCATAAGGCAGAGTTAGGCAATTAATTCAGCATTTCACAAGATCAATCCAATTCTTTAATCTAAAAACTTCTATATTAGACTGCTTATACCTGCTGCATATTATTCTGCTAGATGCAATTCTCTGTCATGTAAAACAAACATGGGCTGTGATGACAATGCATAAGTTCTCTGGGAGCAAGAATTTAGTTTAAAAGTAGATGATATTTAGCAACTGACATTTTATTTGGTAAATTCCTTGAATAACACATTCCTTAAACACACTGAAACACTGTATTTTGCATTCAGTCTGGACTCAAATAGAGGTCACTGCAATATGAGATCTAGGGATTCACTGTATTGTTGTTTACTGCCCAACTTTGCTTAGCAATACGTACATAAAGAACAGGGAAGAAGAAGGCAGAATAAGTTGCTACAGAATAAAGAAGGAAAATCACAATATCATCCTATTTGGGGAAGACAGAGATCTCATTTTTTCAGTGGAAAAAAAAGCCTTTGGTTACAGTAACATTTCAGGTCACATCAGTGACATCTCTGAAAACATATTAGAGCAAATAGAACAGCCCTTCACATCTCAACAAGGCTGCTCTGCTCTCATACAAGCAGGTGTCTCTAAATGCTTTCCCAGTCACCAGAATTGAACACGGAACACACAAAGATACTTACAATAATTAAATACTAGAAAGACAAATAGTATGTTGTCTCTAGACATTACTGACTACCTGCAGTGAAAATAGCTTGCCTTAAATTACTATCAGTTTTCAGCATACGAGAACCTAATTTTAGTGTCTATCAATTTGAAGAAAAGCACATATAAAGAAAAAACTAGACAAATTCAACATGATAACATGTATAACAAGATTTGCTCAGTCTATCAAAAACTACATTGATTCTGGGTGAGTGGATGTTTCTGGTATTTTTCTATGAGATGCTCCTTAGGGAAACAGTACTTGAATGCATTCACCCAGCCAGGCTTAGCAGAAAAGCTAATGTCAGCTGATGGATTAGCTGCAGGAGCAGGGACCTAGCTTCTCACGTTGAGACATGCTAATGTACAACTCTGCCAGAAAAACAGTGCAGCACTAGGGCC